GGCCCCGTCGCGTCTCCCTGTTGCCGCGACAACGTCCAACTGCAATGGTTCCCGGTCTGGTCGGCTGGCCTCCGGAGCTCGGCGGTGACGCGCCGCCCGTACCCGGGCGCCCCTGGTCGGAAACCCACGGTATATGCGATGCCATCGCGCGCTTTCGTCCAGGAGCATGTCCAGACCTGCGCGGTGGAGCAGTGGTTGCCCTGCCCTCCGTCACTCTCCCTCGGCCACAGGCAGGGCCCCCGGCTCCAGGAAACGGAGGGCACTGCGGGAAGGCTGGGGGGCCTCCGAATGTGGCCCCTCACCTCTGCCCTGGTCCCCACGCATGGGCTAGGGTGAGCCTTCCCAGGCTGAACTCTGTGCTCTCCCTCATTTAAACGACAAGGACTTATTAGGCACATGTGTCCAGAAACTGTCAGCCACAGAAACCAGGAGCCAAAGTCCCTCAGGAAGCTATTGTCAGTCCTCAGTGACAATAGAGTAAGGACCTCGGAAAACTTGCCTCCCCTCTCTCCTTCCACAAGAGCAAGGAAAAAAACTAGCAAAAATCGTCAGAATGAACTTTTTCAAAACTCTGGAAATCAAAGGCAATGTTGACCTTAAAATTCAAACAGCCAGTTATTTTTTCCACAAAATAAAGAAAGGTTTATTTGGGAATGGCGGACAATAGCAATTGAGGATGAACATGCTACAGCAAAAACTATAGGCAAGTCCAGCAAACAAAGGAGATGAACGTTACTTTATAGAGAAAAAGGAGGAAGTTGGAAGGGGGTGCTTTGAATGAAAGTCCACTGGAGGAAAGCCAGAGTTCAGGTGGTGAAGGTTCTCACTGGCTGAGTGCATGAATGTTGATAGCCAAAAAATGGAAACCACCAAAATGTCCATCAACTGATGAATGGGTAAACAAAACACGTGGCATGTCCACACCATGGGAGGATACTCAGCCATATAAAGGAAGTACTGACACGCACGACATGGATGAACCTTGAAATGTGATGCTGAGTGAGAGAAGTGGTCACCGAAGACGACCTCTTGTGTGTCCATTGATGCGGAGTCTGGATGAAGCAGATCTAGAGAGGTGGAAAGTAGATGAATGGGGTTAAGGGAGGAGGTGCACATGGGGTGGGAGCTGTTCAGGTTGGGACACTTAGAGGTGACCATGGCACATTCAAGAGTTGGAGGTGATGTGGATCGGGCCTCAGAAGACAAGCCTGGATGGGAGACAGGGCCAGAGCATGGGCATGAAGGCAACTGGAGCCTGTGGGAGCAGCTCACAGGTAACGGTGCCCAGAGCAGCTCTTGAGTGCCCAACACTGACACCTCAGGTGGAGTGAGGTGACTTGGCAAAGGGTCTGAGGACAGCACAGAGGAAACCTGGGACACCCAGGTGAGTTGCCAGAGGCTTCCCAATGCCAAGGAGGGCGTCTGCGGAGGGCCTGGTCGTGGGGAGGTTGCAGGGTGTCGAGAGGCATGTGAAATGTGGCCTCCCCCCACATCACAAGCCACAAGCAAACCTGCAGGCCCCTGTGGAAGCCAACAAGTCTGCCCCTGGAGTTTCTTCCTTGACCTTCACGATGGCGCTCACGGGGCCCTGATTCTTTCCTTCTTTTACTCAACAAATACATATTATGCTGTGTGCCTGGTTCTGGATGTAGAAGTGGCAGGAAATGACAAAGTCCCCGCCCCCATGGCACTTCTCTCCTGGGGCAAGGGAGGCGAGCAGCACATGAGGACTTACTACTAAGTCCGATTATCAATATAGCAGTGCCCGCATACTTCTGCATCCATCCAGCTGGCCCCACCCAGCCAGCCCCTCCCATCCTGGTTGGCTTTGGATCAGAGTGACAGAGCTCCCAATGACAACTGCTTAAACAAGGCAGAGGTTTGTTTCTTCCTCGTAAGTAAAACCCCCTTTAGCAACCAGGGGTTGCAGTGATGGCTTCGGTGGTCAAGCCCTGTTGTGGTCTCCCTCTACCCTCAATGTGGGTTGTACGTCACGCCCCAGAGACACTTCACAACCCAACCATCACTTCCATGTTCCCATGGGCAGGAGAGAGACTGGGGCTGTGAAGCAGTCTGTGACGTCTCTTCTTGGGATTCACCCTTGAAGCTTGCTTGTCACATGGTATCGGCCATAGCATAGTCACGTGGTCACACCTGACTGCATCACAGACTGGGAGTGTCTTTATTTGAGGTGACTTGCACACGTATTCAAACTGGGGCTCTACGACTAAGAACAGATATTGGGGGACAGGTAGCAGATTCTGCTACACTCTCAAAGTAGTGTTGAGAACCTTATCCCTTTTATGACTGACCTACATCTTTACCACCTGACATTTTCTTTAAAAAACTGTAGTGACAGAGGGCCGGCCGAGTGGCTCAGTTGGTTAAGAACTCGCTCAAGAGTTTGAGCTCTGAGCAACAGTGGTTCGAGTCCCGGCCCGAGCTGAGCAGCCGCTGAGCTGCCAACAGGTGGCAGGGTGGCTCAGCTAAAAAACAAACAAACAAAAAACTGTGGTGACAGTGAAAATCAGAACAGAAATTCTGCCCCCAACACATCAGCTTTGTCATTCCCAGGGTCCCCCTCCCACCCTGTGTACAGACGAGGGTTCTGCATGGGGAAGAGCTCAGATACAACTGAGATAATCTTTCAGCTCTTGTCCCCACATGTATGTCCCATGATTTAATGTATGTTCATGACTGTGTCCAAGCGACTGCCTAAGTCCAGTTAAAAATGGCTGATTGAGGGCTGGGCGAGTGGCGCGATGGTTAAGAACTGGCTTGGGACGCCAGAGGGTCCTGGTTCGGATCCCACATATGAGGGCCAGTGACACTGCCCTCTACAGCTAAGATGCTGAACAACAGCTCAACCTGGAGCTGGGCT